CAAGATGGGCAGATCGTACGTTTTTTTTAATTACTTTACAACCATCGCAAGACTAAGGTCTTGCGATGGTTGTAAAGTGTACGGCCACCTTTAGTTCTGAGTTCCGGCCGAATGATGGATCATTTGTAAGGTCTGCACTAGACCTTACTAATAACCACAAGATAACCTTGGATTCCTGTGTCACAAACTTGCGTTTTCCTGCAGCAGGAATCCCTAATCTTTACATGCAGCAACTGTCACCCTTTCAAGTTAATGATCAGGTGACAGCCACTGCATGTACACACCTGCATTGTTTATCCAGGGATAGTGACTTGGCGCGGCTTTCACATTTTCTGCAGAAGACGTGTATCTAAACCTCTGTTTTTAACCTTAGCGGTGAGACAAGTTTTTTTGCATGCTGGCTGGTGAGTGTGCTGGGAAATGTTTTGCTCTTCCATGTGCACCTTGCTTAGAGCTGGTAACAAATTGATGAGTGCGTTTGCCATTTGTTTTGCTTAAATTGAGTTTGAGACCCCGGATTTAGAATAATGAATAAAGTAGATATAAACCCTAACCAAATTACATTTAATCCCCATTTACACTTGAGCATAAGCATTTTAAGGTGACTTTAAAGCTTGTTTTGTGTTTTCAAGCTTAAGCTTTTCTAATTTAGCCAATGGAAAGTTGGTTACTAGGAGGAGCAGATGGTTGTTAGGTGCAGAAATCTCTCTAAAAGCTGACATTTTTCAGAAGCTACCATTGAAGTCTATGGGGCCAAAAGCACACGCTTCTGTGAAAAGAAACTCATGTACTTTTTTTTAACTACATGTGAAAGGTGATACAATGCTCAAGTATGAAAGGGCACCATTAAACAAAAAAAAGGTAAAGTGAAGGAAATCTGGAGACTGGAGGACCTGATTGCGTGGTCCGCAGGGGCGATTGATACATTTTGCAAAACCTGGTCCTCCAGGATGGAGTTTCTCTTCTCTCCGGACTACAATACCCTTCTCGCCTCTGATGGGCCCACAGACGCTATTGGCTCTAGCAGTGATTCCACCCCCCTTTTCTGAAAAATTTAAGAAAGATCGCAGTCCAGCGCCTTGTTTGCCATTTGCTTCTTAACCATTCCTCACTCTGTCTAAAGCAAAAACAAAGGCTTTGGATGACTTCCTATTTCAAAGTGAAAATGTTACAGGTCTTTTGCAAGACTTAATGCCAGCAGACTGTTGTCAAAGCATATTGGACCTCGCTATACAATCAACAATAGGTTGTGAGAGGAGATGCTCTGCTCCATTCAGGTCCAGATCACAGCTTAACTTATAGACCTGTCATCACTATGGCTGACAGAGGAACGTCTTCCAACACCGACCTTCTTTGTAGCTCTGAGCTATCATGTGAATGAAGCTGATGCTGGAAGTGAGAAGGTGTGCCACAATAAACCATGGGGGGAATTTGTCAAAACTGGAGCACACAAAATCTGGAGCAGATTTGCCCTGCAGCCAATCAGATTCTATTGTTAATTTTCAAATCTTACCTGAGCAAAATAAAGAGAGATGCTGATTGGTTGCCATGGGCATCTGCTCCAGATTCTGTTCACTCCAGTTTTCATAAATTCCCCATGCCCTCAATCAACGCCGCCCAATAGCACACATTGCATGGTCCACTTTCTTCCGCTCATAGAAATCTCTCTCCACTAAGGACTACTTGGGAGCTTTTTTACTTTGTGGGTCATGCGTTTTGCTAACCTCTGTAACTAAATGCTATATCACTCAAAATGGCTATTAAAGCAGAATTCCACCTAGTACTAGCAAATGTCAGAATAAAATGTTACCCTGGTTGACTGATTTTAAATGCTCTTGCAATCATCTTCAAAAACACAAAATGGCAACCACATTGTTTTCCTCAATTGTTACACCACCATATCTGTGATGTCACACTGTGTACCAGGTTACCAAGTGTTTGGGTGCTGTTTACAGCTAGGGTTTAGAGTAGTAAAAAAGAATATACCGTATTTTTCGCTCCATAAGACGCACTTTTTTCCCCCCAAAAGGAGGGGGAAAATGTGCCTGCGTCTTATGGAGCGAATACCTATCGCCCGACGCCCGGGACATGCAGTTTCGGGTGCCGGGCGAGTAGTTTCTTTTTGTACATTCAGCCCTGCTCCTGACAAGCAGATTGAATAGAAAAGTTTTTTGACCTGGATCTGGATATTGGGTGCCACACCCAATATCCAGACTAGATAGTCCCTACACAGCTCTTTCCACATAACAAAGTACCTCTTCATTAACAAGTCAACATGATTCACCCTATGTTCTTATATACACATGATTTGGGACTGCAGTGCCAATGACCAGATTAACATACTGACATATAGAGAGGCCTTTGACAAATTTGTTCATAGGGCTATGGAGTGCAATATTGTTCTTCGCTATTACTGCTTTGGGAACAAAGTGTGGCCCTAAGAACAGAAATGATTTAATTGGTGGTGGAGAGCATCTAAGCAAGCATAGTAAAGTATAGAAACCAGTGTTGATTCAGATGGGAATCCACATGCTATCTCATCCCAAGTGATGGGTTTGATGTCTTTGTCGACAGTAATGCTTAGTCTAGTGTCCACTATGTATAGGTGTTTAATTCTGTGGGTAGTGCTTGAGGGGTTGGGAGGTGGAGCAGATATGTTCTCCACTGACGCCAACCCACAAGCGGCTTGTGGCCACTTTAAGAAAACATACCAAGGTATTCACAATGATTATCGGAGATCACATAGTTTGGGACCCATGATTAAGGCATATTGCAGATGGTCATGATTATATCGAAGAACAGTGCAGTTCACCATTAGATTACAAGCATATATAATACTTAAGTTAATTCATTATGTGATGATAACAAAAAAAATTTCATAAATAAAAAAAAAAATACTATAATACAAAGGAAATGTATGGTCTATGGTGAGCAGGTTGGATAATCCTGCCCTGCACCCAGTTTAACTACCATGATAGACTGTATGTTGGATTA